GCTATTTTTTGGTTGCAGCCGTCATTGTTGTTTGGCGGGTCCGGGCTGGGGATTTGAACCCGCCACCTTAGTTGTACGTGGCTGGCGCCTTAACCGGTTGAGCTATAGGCACCGAGCCGAAAAGAACTGCCTTAATGAGAAGCTTGGTAGTTTAGGAAGAAGCAGCAAATAATGAGGGTCAAGATCATGTTAAGTCCTTCAGTGCTGACCACCAATATTTCAGCATTTATACCAAAAACTTACAGCAATGTTACACATAATTTAAAACAATAATAATAATGCACATCAGAATGGGAAAAGTCACATCATTAAAGGCTGCACAGAACCTCAAAATACAAAGACAACCTATGCTCTAGATAGACAGTCAAATGGAGGTTCTGTTTAAATTAGAATGTTTTGGGACAAGTCAACAATAGCCTGTATTCAGAATGAAAATGTGAGGATTTTTGCGTGATCCTGGAACTATTAAGAGTATAATTACCTAAAATTTGAAAATAAATTTTAGGTATTCACCTATTTTAAAGTACCAAGGCTTAATCTGTTTCATGAATTTCCCAAGATCAAAAACAGAATAGAGGCTCAGCGCCCGTAGCAGAGTGGTTACAGGGCCAGCCACAAGGCTGGCGGATTTGAATCTGGCCCAGACCAAATAATGACAACCACAACCAAAAGAAAAGACAGCTGGGCGTTGTGGCAGGTGCCTGTGGTCCCAGCTACTTGGGAGGCGGAGGCAAGAGAATCGCTTGAGCCCAAGACTGAGGTTGCTGTGAGCTGTGACTTTACAGCACTCTACTGAGGGTGACATTGTGAGAATCTGTCTCCAAAAAAAAAAAAAATGGAACTCTTGACATGATCTGTTCCCGCAATTTCAGGGAGGTTACATGGCTTAATAACCAGAGACATGAGTGGAATAGTGGTTTTGGTCTACTTGAGTCAGACATAAAGTGCTGAAGTACGGAAACTACCAGGCATTACAGATACTTTAAGGATAAAACTAGAGTGTGAAGGTTCCAAGGATTGGAGGAATACTTGATAACTTGAGGATTTTAGCTGATGTTAAGCATTTGGAAATGTTTATTTTAGCCTTTAATCTTAGGCTGCTTATTAGATGATAGGAGAGGATGATAAAAGTTAATAGCAATATCTATTTTTTTTAAAAAAGTACTCTATTGACCTCTAGACTAACAGAAAAAATAGCAATACCTATTAAAAAATTGTCAGTATTGATGAAGTAAAGTTTTCTGAACATTAGACCATTTAAAATTCATTTCTTGGTGGAGACTATAACAACTTGCTTGAAATAATTTTAAGAATTGTCTGTGTGAGAATAATTGCATAGGTATCTGAAAGCACCTCTTAAACCCTTTTTTTAAAACAGTCTATGTCACCTAAAGGGCTCTTTTGGATATCTTGGCCATTGATAAAAACCAAGATTGGTTTAGGAATAAGCTCTAAATTGTGTTTAGATTAAAAGGCAACTTTCCTGAATTTGTTTTTGGAAGTTTTGTTCATTGAAATCACAAACCGTGTTATTGTTTAAAATGTTTCTTTTTAATTCCAGAAGCTCTGCTATTCAGAGCACTGTTTTTCAACCTTTTTTATCTCACAGCACACTTGAACTTATAGTTAAACTTCTGCAGCACACTTATGTTGGTAAACAAAGTTTTTTTAAAAAGAATATATTTACCGTGCTTTCATCTTCTTTTGAAAATAATTAATGGTCTTTAAAATTTTTTGCTGCACAGCTAAGATCCTCTCACAGCACACCAATTGAAAATCACTGATCTAGAGCTAGACAGATCTTCCTGGGTTTGTCTTTTGAGCACATGGATGACACTTTCCGAATTCATACTCTGAGAGCTACTGTCACATTTGAATTTGAGAAAGCAATCTCCAGAAATGTGCTTCTCCTGCACTGTTCCCAATGGCCTGATGAGAATATCTGATTCTCATAACTAGAAGCTCATGCTGATAAGTCTGAGTCAGGGTCATAGTTCACATTTTCAGTTCCTAATAAGCAAGTGATTCCTAATGTTTTTTGGAAAATACATCATCACATCAAAGATTGTGGTCAGAAAATAAGAGAACTTGAATTGAAATGGAAGACCAAAGGAAATTCTACAACTGCTCTGTCCTGGCGGCTCTGCAGGCAGGCCTAGCCCAGGAGCCGTTTCCTAGGCTAAATGACCAGATTTGGAAAGCCTGAGAAACGATGAATACTGCCCATTCCTCGTGCCCCCTTGAGTTACCTCAATCTATGTGATGAAAGATAAATGTTCGTGGAATGAAGAATGATGGACAAACCAGATGTACCTTTTACTCTAAAAGATACAGAAATTGTCCCTTTTCCTTTTCTTTACTAGTTAGACAATCCTTTCTTGATCATCCTATTCCATTTCCTTAGCCTTTTCAGTAACCTCATTTCCGATTTTGCCCCTGTCCAACCTTCCCTGGGAATAGCATCCTCCTGCCATCTCTTCCACCTCACTCACATTTGGACATACTTAGGTCCCACCTCTTCTAG